GTCTTGAAGCTAACATCAGGAACAGCGATCCATTTCATGCTTTCAGCATACAGCTGGGGAACAACATGGGATGTGGAGAAAAGACTGAGGTCAGACAGACCCCAGGGTGTGACAATGTCAATTCTGCAACATCAGCCACAGTACTGAGTTTCTCTGCTTCCATTTCTACCAGGTTATCCAGAGGTCCTAATGAGAAGACTGAGCTAATGCACATGCACATAAGGTATAGAATTCACTCTGTGAAAGTCAGTTCTATCTTCTCCCCTCAGGCTATGGGTAGGGAAACAAAGAAATTATGTTTCTAGGCAAGGCTCCAGATGATCAGCAACCTCCTCCCAAAGAAGCAAACCATCAATGGAATGTCAACAATGTTATAAAAATGACTCATTATAGTCTTAATAAATATATTCCTGTTAAATCATCCAATTTTAAAATTATGTTCTGGGATCATAATTCACAAGGCAAATATGTTTGATATCCTTTATACATGGCACGAACATCAAACCTGCATGTATATCTCAGTTCTTTTTATAAGCAGAGGAAAGAGTTAGGACTAGGGTGATGGAAAAAGGGTGATTGCAAAACAGACTTGGGATAGATAAATAATGTGAACTCCCCTAAAAACGATATATTTCTAAGATGCAAACAACAGGGGAAATAGAATTCTCTTTCCTCTCCAACAGAAAAACAGAGCAGGGCAGAGGTTAAGCTCATGCTGAAGTCTTCCAGAATCCCAGTTTCAAAGCTCTCTGTTTATCAACCAGAAGTCAGATAGATAGATGCATCAAAACATTTTAATGATACGACTGCAATGCTGCACTATTAAATATATAATTGGTAACGACATTTAAAATATACTATGGTTTTGTAAACTTGGGCATCATGACAGGATGTCATCACTTACTTCACAAGAAAACCAAGACAATTTGGGGACTGCACCTTGTCTGGTTACTGTTACTGACATACAGCAGATGGACATAGCAGGAAGCAATAATACCGCCAGTCCTTGACTCTGGGATTCATTTGTTTTTGACTTACAGCAAATAATGAGCCACAAACTTTACCAACACAAATATGAAGCTATGAAGGATAAACATGTCTCTGGTAGAAACTGGATTTAAAATCAGCATATCAAGTCTTAGAATTATCCCTTCTTCTTTTTCTAAAACTTGGCATTTGTTAATCTGCTTCTCACAGAAGTGCTTGTCTAAGATGAAGATTCCCAGGTGTCCCACCCCAAATCTACTGAAATAGAATTTCTGGGCCAGGGGCCTGAGAACCTACATTTTAATAGATTCCCCAGGTGCATTCTTCTTCTTCTTTTCTTTCTTTTTTGGACAGAAAAGCAAGGAGCTTATTATCAGACAAGGAGAAGTACGGGAAAAGCTCTCTGAACAGAAAGGGGTCCTGAGCAGGTAGCCTCCCAGGTGGATTCTTATCCATAAATTGCAAAGCACTTGAACTATGAAGGGATCTTTGTTATAGTGGGAGGTATGCTCCTCCCTTGATAAAATTAACACCTTAAAATGAATCACAAAAGTAAGGCTTTGTATATATAGATGCACACTATGAGGAAATTTACATACCTATATGAAGGTTGTAAGGGGAAAGCACTAAACATAAATTAATAGTCTACTATAGTATAGGTCCCAATCCAATTATAATTACTCAATCTTCAAAATAATTCTGTTTGAATTATGAATGGAAAATGTTAGAAACTGGGTAACTCTTCTGAAGTCACAAGCCTGGAGAATGGCCCAGTGAGGTTGTGAAACTAGATTGATCTGACCCCAGTTTTTTCATTCCATTGTACTTAGTTCACATGCCCATGAAAATATACACATGCATGTGCACATACTCTCAAGTCGCGCAATAGCCATATAGTTAAAAAGCAAAAAAAAATTATAGACTTTTAGAAACCTTCTGAATCAGAAAGTATTTAGTTTTGAAAGAACTCATTCTTCAATGGCTATTCTTTTGCTTGGTCTGCTGAGAAGATAATGAAGGGTATGACTACTATCAAAACCACATTTAACAGTCTGGATTTTAGTAATCAGAAGTATGTTAGGGAGCTTGCTAGGACCAAATTTAAAGGTGATTCTTGATATGTGCAAGCTACTGAGTTTTGCAAATGAAACCACGTAATATTCATTCTGCAAGTTGCATTATCTTACAAAGAAAAACTCCAACAAATGTGTGATCTAGCACTTCTCAATCCAATGGTCTTCCTGGGCCTCACCCCTCCCATCTGACAGTCTAAGCTCCCTCTGCTGGGAAACCCCCTGCTGCTGGCTTCTGGAATCATGTTCCCTTGTGGTTCTTCTTTGCTCTTTTGTCAAATGTCTCATTAGGACCTCCTGAGACCCTTCTCTCTTTCTTATAATGTTCTATCTTCAACCCCTGCCTGCCTACATGCACTCTCTGGAAAAGTTCTTCTTTTGCCTCTTCCCTTTTTCTTATACTTGAAAGATGTCCAAACTGGCCTAGACCTGGCCTTCTTCTAGAGCACAGTGTTTCCTCTGTCTGGGGGATATCATAGCACAACGCTTCAAATCTGGCAACTCTAAAGTACTGGTCCTTACTTCCTCGAACCAAGACTCCTGTGCAGGAAGCACTGCTCTGGAAACCGACGTCAGCTTTAGCTGATCTTTCCCTCCATGATGTCAGATTGTGTCAACTCTTTTCCTTTGCTTCTGTCCCTTTCCATTTCACTATCATCATTTCAGGCCTTTCCCTCCCTTTTTCTTGGTGGACTGAGGTGGTCTTCTAAGGGTGTCCCCATCTGGTTTCTGCTCTGCTTTTCTCCTCATCACCCTTAACTCCTATTCACAGCCACAACACCTCCCTGTTCTATCTCCACTGCCTCCTATTGGTCATTCAGAGTTCCCAGCTTGGCAGTGAAGACAACTGATGTGGCCCCAAATGGTCTCCAGATTTACTTCCCGTTCAATGCCTGTGCAGACAGTTCTAACTGGCTTGGATTCACAAGCTTTCCCTGAATATACTCCAGGTTTTCTCTTTTCCCCTCTACTTCCCTATCTCAAATGTCTTCTCCCATCTTCTCTATGGAAATTCCACATCCATCAAGGACTTGCTTAAATGTTTTTTCTCAAAAAAGAAATCCCTGGACTTCTAGAGGTAAAAGGATTCTTCCTTCTCAAAGCACCATAATATATTTTTGGCATGAACCACATGATTATTTCTGCATATTTATTTCCTCACCTACATATCAGGAGCTAAGCGGGAAGAGGCCACATCTGTTTTTGCTGACACCTCCATTCTCTCTAGCATAATGTCATATTTCTGTAGGTATTCAATAAATATCTGCCGTATACCATTTATAGAACTCCTAAAAGTTTAAAAAGCACATTCACATGTCTGTTCTATTTGGAGCTTACATTTACGGTAAATAGCATTCAAGACTCAGAATCTGATTTCTGTCGCTTAACACAGTTATTAGAACTATCTCCAATTTTGTACCTTGTAGGTTAAACATATCTCTTACATTGCTTTTCTTTTGAACACCCACTGTCCTCTGTGGCCTATGGAGCTAAATAAAGAGGACATTTTTGAATCAAAGAAAGCCCTCTTGCCAAACTGCTTTTTTCTTGCTCATAGGTTAAGTAGAGATGTAAAAGGTCCCTATGCAGAGGTAATGGCAAAATCAAAAAGTTAAAAAGAAATTCCTTTCTGAAGACTGTAAGACTAAAAAAAATGATTTTCTACATATCCAGTTAGAATCCTACTTATGAATCAATTCCCACTATTACTGGAACTGATAGCATGTTAATAACAGAACATTTCTGACAGTTGAACAAATGATTCCTCACTAAAAGACTGAATATGACTAACATGATGATAAAAGCCCAAATTATCTGTCTGGTATTTTACACCCAAGGACCTTGTAAATGTTCAATAATATTTGTTAAACAAATAAATGAATGAATCCAGAGAAAGCCTTCCTACTGCTTATTAGATGATTGTATAAGCTTTCATTGATGGATGGAAGTATAAGATGAACTGGAAGAAAGAAGAAAAACTTCATTTAATGGCAAGAACTTGGATATATCAGCAACTTGGGTCTCTCCCTGTGACAGGTCCCCTATGACTAATGGAGATGAAGTAGATGAGGAGAATGGCATAAAAATCAGGCATCTGACTGGGCCTCTTCTGGATTGAGATTGCAAAGCTTCTCAAGGGTAAATACTTTGCCTTGAACTCTGGTCCTAGCACTGTGCTTTGCGTGCAGAATGTACAACGTGGTATGAGACACAAAGCTGCCCCCTGCGCCCCTGCGTTTTCAGAATTCAATCCTTTACAACTATTCTCCCTTGCCCTCCAGGGGTGTTGCAATTACATAAAAATATAGCACTTAAAGTCCTTAACACACTGTCTTGCGTGCGTGCACACACACACACACAAGTGCTTGATAAACGGTAGCTATAATTATCACTGTCTGAGACTATGTGTTTGCCTCAGTGGCAACTAGTGTGCTGGGCTCTGAGTATTTGTCTGTACAAACGACAAGTATGTGGCATGGGCACTTCACACTTGTAGACTCAGTGCCTCGCACAGTGCTCACAGTGAGCTTGAAGACGGCCACATGAGTGAGTAATTGAGATTCAAGTTGCCTCTTCCCCCACCCACTAGGTTACCCAAAGAGTCATTTAGACTCTCTGAGTCTCAGTGACATCTGTGGACCCTTCCAGCTCAGAAAAGCTGAAGAACTCTTAAGAAACTTACAGGAGCTCTGGTGACAGTCACTGGCGGGCCTAAAAAGAGAAGCCAACTGTCCTGAAGTTCTGTTCACTCAGGTCCCCCTTCATTACAGGGGCTTCTCATCATGTCTCCTTAATAGCAGTTCATTTAAATGCCACTGTCACTTTGTCATCCCCAAACCTGGTGGGCTGCTGGCACAAATCATGTACCTCTTGGTTCAGTTCCTCAGAAAAGCCACTTTCTATTTCAAGTAGACTAGGGAGAGACACGCATTTAGTTACCTCAGTTAAAACAGAACAGCCTTAACAGAGTTAGTTTTTCGTATTTTGGAAGAAGTCACTTGGAAATCCTCGGTTCTGAGTCCTCCATCTCCTCCACAAGATCTAAAAAAAAGAAAGAAAGAAAGAAAGAAAGAGCTGTGTCTTATGACTAGCTGCCAGAATTTGATGTTTTAGCAACAATAGTAGTTGCAATTATCATGCGTATGGAACACCTACTCTAAGTCAAGCATGGAGCAAAGTGCCCCAGGTGACGTCCTGTCCTCTTCATAATACCCCTCAGGTGCAGAAGACATTCCCCCATTTTACAGATATACAAAAAGAGGCTCTGAGAGGTCATGGCATCTGTTCAAGGTCACACAACTAGCTGATGTTAGATGTAGGATGTAAACACAGGCTCGATGACTCCAAAGCTCCAATGATTAATCTGGAATCAGGGTCTTCAACGCTTTATGAGAATGACCCACTGTAACTGCACTATGTAAAGTGAAACCCCCCAATCTCAAAAGAAGGCATACTCTTACTATGCAAAACGCACCGATATTTTCTACTCTATCCTATTCTTTTCCATATTGCATCATGTATCTTTTAAAAGAAGTTCTGATAGCAACCCACTAAACTGATGCTGCAGTCTACTAATGGGGCCCTACTCCTGTTGGGAAAACACTACACTTAGGTATAGCACTTCACTAGAAGTTCCCCTGAAACCACAGACTAAATCCTCCTATGCATGCACTTTAGCCATGAGAACCTGGCCAGATAGTGAAGCATCATAATTATGAGAAAAGTCTTAACCTTTAAAATATGTATAAGGCACTGGTATACCTATCATCAACAATACTTTTAAGGGGTAACCAATTAAGGCCAAAGTCCAGAATGGAATTAATCACTTACCTACAGCAGAACAGGAGTTATAAAGTGGAACCACGGACAGACTAAAATCTCAGGTGATTTATTACCTACCCTGCAAAGAAGTGGCTAACAGAGGGCGGCTGTGTTGTACCAACAGAGCAGACCTAACTACTGCAGAAGTAGGAGGCTGAGATTGCAAACCCCCGGGCGCAGGGCCCTGCCTTTGCACGTCCCATTCAATTCCAAGGGCTTGGTGCTGAACCAAGGAAATCATAAGGTTCCTCAGGGTCTGGACTGGGGTCCAAGTCACTGTCTGGGGGAGGGGAGACGCAAGTGTCACGCAGTTCCTAAGCCCCGCTAGACCCGAGCCCGCACGGCCCCCAGCCCTCGGGTGCGCCTTTCCCCCGAGCCGCCCCCGCCCCGCCCCCGCCCTCCCGCACATCCGCGCTCTCGGACACTAGCTGCGACGCAACCTGCCTCGACGCCGCAGTTGAATGCCCCCTGCCCCGTCAGGCCCGGGCCCAGGAGTCGGGGCACCTGCGGGCGTTAGGATCCTGCAGCAGCTCGGCTTTCCAGCGTCAGCGGAGCTCCCGGCGCTGCGCGAGCGTTCAGCCAGGTTTCCAGGCTCCCCCCTAGAGAGAGGGGTCAGGCTGGCGGCGCCCCGGGCACCGCACCCACGGCCGTGCCTCGCCCACCCAGCCCGCACACACACCCTGCGAGTGCACTTACAGGGTTCGACTCCGCCGCCAGTGCGTCTCCTCGGGGGTCCATGGCGCTTCCGGACCCGCGAGTCCGGCCGCTGCGCCGCACAGCACCGCCCAGAAAATGGACGCCGGCGGCTCGGCTCTGCCGGCCAGGCCCGCCCCCGGCGCGGGGCAGAGGACGCGGCCTGTCCGAGAGCGGTCGGCCGACCCCCAGCTCGCTGACCCGGGCGCTGGGGACCACGCCGCGCCCAGACCGGGCCTCGGGAAGGCAGCGGCCGGACCAGGAAAGGGGGGCGCACAAGGCCCCAGACCCTACCTGGGTGCGACGGGGGTGGGGTGGGGTGTGGTGGGGTGTGGTGGGGGCGGGGAACCCACGACGACGCCGCCAGGCCCCAGACCCCACTAAAAGAGCAGCGGCCTCCGCTTTCACCTCCCAGGAGAAGGGAATTTGGAACCTGCAGGGAGGCCCACCCAGTTCGGGTTCTACAGAGCCTAGAGAGTCACTAACAGTGCAAGGCCGGCCCCACAAGGGCCCCTGGGTTTCAAATCCAGATTCCAGACACTTTCCAAAACCTGCACATTCGAGCGAGGCAGAGGTCAGAGAAAGTAAAGGGCCACTTTAATCGAATCAAATTCTCGGGAATAGGGTGTCACCTGCGCTTTCCCATGCCTGTCAGGCGCGGCCTCTATTGATTTTCTCAACGTGCTATAAAAGCTAGTTGTTGCAAAATGCCTAGTCCTCCTTTCTTAAATGAAGAACACGGCTGCTAGGATCTGTCTTCCAAGATTCATTGAAAAAGTATTTACTGTGTCCTGCCACCAACTTGCTTTATGGATCTAACAGAGCCTAGTGCACTAATGTAAAGCTTTTGTCTGCTTTTTTGTTTGTTTGTTTTTTAAATAAAAGTTCTCTGCTTTGATAGTATGAGTCCTGTAGTAAATTTAGTTTCAGAAAAGATTCACTCCTGGTCCATAATGGAAAAGGATTAAAAAGTCTGTCTTTGACTTGCATCCTGTTTTTAGTCTGCAATAGTGTTTGCACTCCCACATCCCAGTTCCTGACTGTTTTTAAAATGTGATCATTTTTTGATGAGTAAAGTAGACTCCAATATTATACACAAAGTCAGTAAGATATTTTAAATAATCCAGGAAAATTATATTGACTTGAAGTCACATTGAAGAAGCATGCGATTTCAAAATCAAGGCAGGGTTCTGAAGGCTGGCAGGTTGGTGACACGCAGGCACATGTCCTCGCACAGTTCCCAGCTGCATCAAAGCCAAACACCCTTTATTCTCTCTCCTAGGCCACATGTTTAGAAAGATCTAGCCTGCTAAATTGCATTTATTAACGAATGATTCATCTTCCCATTTAAAAAAGCAACAGGCCTGCATGTTTTTGTACATGTAACCGCCAATCAGAGGGTCTACAAAAACTGAGCTAACCCATCATTAAATATGGATTTCAACCTAAAGAAATGTATGGTCTAACTTGAAGTTTATGTGTGTGTGTTTTACTGGGGCTTTTAGAAACTGAAAATCACTTGGAGATTTTTTCAGGAAAACCAAGGCACCTGGATTAGGAAACCTGGTCAGGAAGTACTAAAATGAGGCAGTGCTCTCTATGCTTCCCTGAGCGTGGGAGTGGGATCGCAGAGCAAGGCAGCTGGACTCTGCCTGTCTGGGTATAAAGCCCAGCTTTGTCACTTACACGGCCACTCCCTGTGTACCTGGAGGCAAGTAATTTAATGGCCTCAAGCTTGGGCTTCCTCACCTGTAAAATGGGATTGTTTTTAACTGTAAGCATTTTGATGGTTAAATGGGATAAAACACTGACAGTAGTGACTGGCACACCATAAGTGTTCTGTAAGTGTGAACTGTTGTGATTAGTGTTAAAAGTCTAATATGCAGAGTTAAATTCCTACCATCCAAATGCTGAGAATCAGCCACTGTGTGTAAAGCAACTTTTATACCCTAGAAATTTTCCATGGGTAAGCTGCCAAGGTCACATGGTGAGTGACATGAAGGGATTTAAACACAGGTCTGACTCCACACTCCATTTTCTGTGTTGCTAACATGTTCCAGGTGGTACCTTGATCAGACGCTGTCAACAGCTTGTTAAGGGTGAAATCGGCTCTGGCTTTCCTAAGAGGCTTAGCAAGTGAATGGCTCCTTACATGCGCTTGGGGCTTCACAAACAGTGGCATTTCTTTCTCATTAGAGCCAAATGTTTCTCCAGAAGTGAGGAGATTTCCCCAAATTGTTATTAAGAACTAAAATATCATGGCAACAGTTTTAAACGCCACAGCCTAAAACTTACATAATCAGCCCGTCCTTCAAAATTTTCCACCCTTCCTCATAACCAGTCGCAGATTCTCTCTCTTAATGATTCTTCTGAATATGGGGAACTATCTGGAAATTTCCAGAAATGTCCCAACTTGTCATAATTTTATTCTTTTCTGTAAAGTTGCATTCTTTTTTAAAACAACTAAATATGGTCTGTTTTTCTGTAACTTTGTGATACTTTTCATTTCAATACGTTTGTAAATCAGAAGAAAAAAAAATCCTAAGCTTTCAAAGATTATCTTAAATTTCTACCAGTACAGCGCATCCTCTTGATCTTTTTCTGGTGGCCTTACCTAAGAGGTTTTCTTCATTTCCCACCTCATGTCCTTTAATTCCCACATGAGTTTTATTATGCTGCAAGACCCTACTTGAGCTTTCTGCTTTTGACTGTTGGCTTACTTAACTTTTCCTGTCCCCTATTTTCTTTCTTTTTAAGGTTTCAATATTATCATTAATATAGTGACTATTTTTACTTCCTTTGTTTCCCACCAGATCTTAGAATCTTATTTTGCCTCCTCTACTTGCAGCATTTTGTTAACTTAATTTTTCATTTTACTTTCTATTTTCCTTCATCCAGGACAATCACCAAATAATATCATTTGGCCTTTCCTATTTTTTTTTTTTTTAAAGATTCATTTATTTGTGCATTCAGAACTGGGGTACAGGCCAGAGGCTCAGGGGCAGTGAGAGGCTTCACCAGAGAAGAGTGGGGAACAGAACAGGCAGATCG